AGAAACTTAGACAACGAAATGTACTTTTCTTTGGTCTTGGCGATGACTTGGATTTGATTGGTGTCGTCGGCGAGGGCGGTGGTGAGAAAATGACTATCGTAATCCGAAAAATTGTGGAGCACGATCGGTACGTAGTTCGGTACTCGCAGTTTTAAGTTACACGCGCTGTGAGCCGGGCCTCTGTATCGGCCGTCGAAAGCATCGCCGAATCGAGCTGTTCGTAAAGCAAATACGCACAGTTATTAATATTATTATTCTCTTTTCCCATTCGGTTCTTTAACATACTTGGCCGGCCGGTGGTCATCGTGTCATCACCCTCGCTAACGTCGTCGCCATCGCCGACACCATCATCGACGTTGTCGAGCGCTATGAATATTAAATTACAGTACACTGATATTTCCTTATAAATATTGTCTATCTATATATATATATATTGTCACACATACACACACAGCAAATCAAAAAAATTAATGCCCACATGAATATAGTCGAGAAAAAAAAAATGTAACGCGTTCCGAAACATGCGTTATGAAAACTATGTGTGTGTGTGTGTGTGTGTGTGTGTGTGTGTGGTGCGGTCGAGCGCGATCGGATCCCAGGTGTGAGTGGTACCGGGATCAAATCCGGTTCCCCTCTCATCACTTTTTGCATTAGTTTTACAACATTTATGGTAATTTATATTGCACGAAGACTAAAAACTTTTAAAATATTTATATTTTATTCCTACAGAATACATTATCCCATGTACTTGAAAAAAAATTATGAAAAAAATGCAAAAAGTGTAGAAACGGAGACCGGATTTAAACCCGGTACCACACACACACACACACGCACACGAGGGACCCGATCGCACCACATATAGTGACTTCGTTCCAAACGCAGGTCCCGCGACACGCACCAGTTATATATATATATATATAACTCACCTTATTAATTTCTTTAATTAAATTAATCGCATAAATATCAGTTAAAAAAAAAACCTTGTATTTCCCTTTCATACACTATTTATCGTTTACTGATTATTTTAAATTATTTACTAAATTACATATCATTACATAACTCTATAGTATACTGATTCAATAAAAAATTAATTTAAATATTATTTATAACAATGATTCAATAACGCTATTGCTAATTTCCTTCGTACGTATGTATACCACGACTTGTTAATTTAATTAAAATTCTACATTAACTTAAATAACAGGTAAAAAATTGTGTTTTACTTTTCAATTTGTTATTTTCATTTTAAATTAATTAATAATATTTGGTTCTAATAATGATTACATCATAATTCATTTAAACATTGGAATTTCCTTGAAAATTAGTTATTTTAAATAAATTTCTATACATACGTATATCGACATAGTAATTTCTTTTGAATTAATTATTAAATTAACTAACAGTTTAACAATTATAATTTCATTTTAAATTAATTATTTCCTGTCTTATAATTATAAATTATTTACTCAATGATTATTTTAAATTCCAACATTAACATAAATATCATGTAACCAAATTTATTTTATATTAATTCATACCTCAATTATCATTTTACCACTTATTTTAAATTAATTTATCATTTAATAATTGTCAATAATAGTGCCTCAATCATGATACATTTAAAATATACTGTGTGTCGGGAAGCCAAGTACATAATCCAATAAAATTAGATTATACTACTACTACTAATTGTTGAATAATATATGTACATATATATATATATATATATATATATATATATATATATATATATATATATATATATATCACTAATCGTATAATCATATTATTAATAATTGTGTTGGTTGTAATCTTACGGTTCGGACTTTGCATATTATCGGTATTGTGGTCGTCTGTAGCAGCCGTTGTTGTTGTTGCGAATCTATTCGGCACAGCGTCCATTTAACCTATATGATTCCATTTATTAGTACTTATCCGCGCGCGCGTTATTTTAATTAGTGTAATTGATTATACCTGTCATTGCCATGGCACCACCAATTCTTATCGCTGTGTCGGCGGCGGCAGCGGTTCCTCTGCGATGTGTCGGAGACGGAGGCCAGACGTCGATATATTCTAAATTGAACAACCCTGTTATTGTTTTGTATATTATTATTAATATTCTTTTTACCGATATTTTGGTTGTCGCAGACACTGCTGTAATTGTGGTCGTCGCAGACACTGCTGTAATTGACCGAATCCATTGCCACCGGTACTCTTTCTGATACATAAATATTGTGACCGTGTTAGCCGAGTTGAATGAATGTATATTAGTTACCTTAAATCATTTTTTTTTGTTTACCTGTTTCCCCGATGCTACTAAAATTGTCTGCATCACTATTTTCTTCTTCTGCAGTCAAGTCTATCCATACTGTAATTAAATAAAAAATAGAATCATCCTATACTAGTATATTTCTTTTTTAATTACCTTCATCATCAACATGGATTTGACAATGATCAGCGTGTTGAGACGTGGTCGCTGTAATGATATTTCACTTTTCTTATTATTATTGTTCTATTTATTTATGATTTTTTTTTTACTTTCTGTGATTAGTTAACTTTAATTATTATTATTTATTTGTTTACCTGTTTCCCCGATGTTACTAATATTGTCTGCTTCCATATTTTCTTCTTCCGTAGTCAAGTCTATCCATACTGTAATTAAATAAAAAATAGAATCATCCTATACTAGTATATTTCTTTTTTAATTACCTTCATCATCAACATGGATTTGTCGATGAGCAGAGTGTTGAGGCGCGGTCGCTGTAATGATATTTCTTATTATTATTGTTCTATTTATGATTTTTTTTTTTTTTACTTACTCGGTTTGCTATTAATACTATTGTTGGATTCATCATCATCCACGGTCAAGTCTACGTGTACTGTAATTACCCAGATCCCAATGTTATATTTGATTGTGTATGTGTGTGTGTGTGTATATATCTATAATTAATACTAATCTATTTTTTTTTTCCTTACCTTCGTCGGGGGATTGTTGAATTGATCCGGGTTGATGCGGTCCAACTGTAAATAACGTGTCAGTGTGATATTAATCTATTTAATCATATTTCCATATTCGTTTATACCTAAGTAATGGTTGAACTGTCTTTGATGTCGTAGAATATTGCTTCGGTTAGCAAACGTGTACTTACATACAGGACAAGACAGATCCATTTTCGCTGTGTGTGTGTGTTAGGTTTGAAAACGTGCGTGTTAAGATGAACTTTCCGGTTATTGAAAGACAATATATATCGTTAGCACCGGTATTTATAGCGTATTCGCCGGACAAGCGTTGCAGCATTTTTTATCCGGATGAACTTGTAACCTATTAGTTCGCAAGAAAAGCACATTGGTGCATTACATAATTCTGTCTGCCTTTTTTTTTTTTTAATTACCACATACTGCACTACTGGTATGCATATCTATAATAATTTGACCCTATATAATCACCCCGCGTCTGGTGTGATCGCTTATCATTTCAATAAATCATTCACCCCGCCGTATGACGTGATCGTATCAGTCACCCGCGTTTGGCGTGTACGATTATCATTTTCATTAAATAGTGTACATCAGCATTTTTGTTCGATGTTTATCGTGATCATTTGCCAATTGTACATACAACAATGTCCAATTTTAACTTGGTATGTACCAGTTCTTCATTAAATTATATTTAATTCTGTTTTTCGTTAGTGGTGATTTTTTTTTTTTTTTAGTCACCAGATTTATTCGCTAAAACGACAACTCGTTCAAGTGTCAACGGTCACCGTTGTCCCTGAGACGCCATCCCCACCCAGATCGTCACCCTCCAGTGTCGATGTCATCGCTGGGACGCCGTCTCCGCCACCACCAGCAACTTCCAGTAAGCATACCGTCATTCACGATGATGATCACAAACATTAATACTCTCTTTCTCCCTTAGCTGGGTCTACCAGTTCCCTTTGGTCCGACGTGACCCTAAACCAACTGTTACTCGCGATAGCGGACGCTGAGGAATTAAATTGGTGATCTATTTTTTTGTAACCTCATTGTATAATAATAATAAACGTAATTATATATATATATATATATATATATATATATATATATATTATTTGTAGTATTTTTATTCCAATAAAATTAAATATAATACTAATACTAATATATATAATAATCCTAATGTTATAAATTACATGATGTGTGTGTGTGTGTGTTAACACACTATTAATTTTTCCATACTTTGCTCTTAATTAATTTATACTGACACACCTATGCAATCATTTGGTTATTTATCGATATTACCTTTATTCGTTTATAATATTCATATGTACTAGTAATGTTAGATAAGCTAATAATGCTACTATTTTTTTTACTTTGTGCACTGTCCATGCGACCGTCTAGGCAATACAACTGATATACATTATAATTATTATTATTTATTTTCTCAGATGTGTGTGTGTGTGTGTGTGTTATTAATTTTTATTTTATTAGTACATTATCATTACACTCGTAATAATAATAATAAGATCATATTTCGTTTCCTTGATATATATTTATTTAGGTAATAATAGCTAAACATACATTTATTTTTTATTCTATTGCCAGTAATCACATTTACTACTACTCCTACTTATATATATTTGCGTGTGTGTGTTGTCAAGCAGGTCAGTCGTCGATCGGTCCGTCATTATCTGTAGAGTACAATAGTCAACGGCAATTAGTTATTTAATTTTTCTTTTCTGCTAACTGACTATTGCACTTACCCATAATATTATATAACTACGGCATAGTGGCCGTATGTTAGATAAACTATTAATGCTAATATTTTCTTTTTACTGTAATAATTGAATTTTTAATTAACAAGTTTTTATGAATTGATGTGTAGGAAAACAAATACAAATTTTCATTTAGTGTTTCATTTATTTTTGCTTTTATCGGAGTAGCTTCTCTTTTATAATGAAAGACATGACTCCATTAAGCAAAAGTATATTTATTTTATTGAGAGTAATGAAATAATTTATAGCAAAAACTTTTTATTATACAGTAGGTTACATTATTTGACAATTTTTATACAAATATGGCACGCAAAAAAATATTTAAATAATATAACAGAAGTACTTTATTAAGTAACTTATGTATTATTTAGTAAAATAAACCTGAGACTATAGGAATTCTGCTAACTCAAGATCTATGCTATTTCCCTTCTTCGAAGGGTTTCCGTTATCCATAGCATGTATAAAAGACCCAAAGTATTTGTATATCTTCAAGCCTCTATTTCCATGTCGTATCGAACACCTTTGGCCGCGTATAACTATAGCCTCTTTTGTGTATGATAATGGCCATGTTGTACTAAAGAACAATCCTATGATTCGACATGTGTCTTTAAAACAAGTACTGTGGCTCGCTGGGTCTACAAAAAAAGTTTCAAAAGTTAGCCAAATTTAGCTTGCTGCACTGACAAAAAATACATAGTTTGACGAACTAAATTTGAGGCTAATCCTAAATCCTCACCTAAGAGCAAAAATGTATTGAGTCAAAAAATGTAAATTTTACAAGAGAGAAAAATGAAATTTTTTACTAATAAATAAATAATTACTAACTTCTTCTTCCTAAACCTATCCACCCCACACACTTCATCATCGCCCGTTTCCATAACCTGTCTTGCCCTATACCATTCTCCAAAATTAAACACGATTGCACCGTTTTACTCCTTTTGGATTAGTAGATCAGTCCATTCTCTTCACTCTTCAAGTCTCTCAACCAATTCTTCCCGGACTTTCCCCCACTAACGCTACTACATCCATGAACATCATACACCAAGGCACCTCCCCCCGTATATCTTTCGTAATCTCGTCCATTACTAAAGAGAACAAGTAAGGACTCAACGCTAAACCTTGATGCACACCTACACTTACACTAAAATCTTCCATTTCTTCACACACACTCTTCACTCTTGTACTTGTCCATACATACATTTCCTCTATTACTTTCACTTACACCCCCGGCACTCATTTTTCCCTAAACGTCCACATCTAAGCTTGTAATTAATAAATAACTAACTAATTAGTTGAAATAAATAAACTTAGATGGGCTCATCCAAAAGTCCAAACGTCATATAAGACAGCGAAGAGAGCGTGCAATTTAAATCTAGTTGAAACATAAAACCGGAAAATTAAAATTTTTTACTAAATACACTTCTGCTACGAGGTACGGATATTAACCTAATAAAAACCAGTAACCGTTAAATAAGTATTGAATAACTTTTTGAACTAAGGGGTAGTTTCTTTAACTAGAAAATTAGTCGGACGATTTATTTATGTAGTTATTTCAACTATAAATGTAATGTGTTTGGTGTCATGTTCGTTGGTCCGAATATGTATTTTTTCGTGTAAATATTGGTTTTCAATTAGTTCATTATTTACTGTGTATAATATCGTTTATTAATGATGCTAAAACTGGTATCAACATGACTCTTCGCTCAAGTCCAAGAGAATCCTTAGTTTTTGAACCAGTAACTGAAAAATTCAATAAATGCGTTGAACAAAGTATAAATAATTTTGCAAATTGTTTCTAATATAACAATTTGGTAACCTTAGTAAACACTGCAAAATTTGCAAGTTACAATTTACATTATTCGAAAAACACATATTAAACAAACACACAAATCGTTAAAATATTATTTTCTTTGATAAAACTAACAGATTTCCGTATTTTTTGAAAATATTTGACAATTTATTTGCAATTCCTGGGAAATATAGCATTGCTGATATCTTTGTATATTGTTTATTTTTCTATTCTAAGGTGCTATAGGTACTGATACACAATTGTGTTTGACCAATTTAAAGATTTGTTATTTGATTAAAAATTTGACACGTGCTTTTTTACAAATTCTATTAAGCAATTCGGTAACGGACTCGATTCCAAATTTAATAAATTTTCTTTATTTTTTGACATCTCAATGGCTTCGCTGATGTTTAATTCCTGATAGATCGTATCTTAAATTAGTTAAGTTTAGTACGAAATAGCTGCTATTAACAGTATGATTTTCCGATTAGTAAATATTCCAGTGGATGCAACTGATTTCAAAAATAAAAGAAGTATTATTAAAGAAATAGCCACATTCAACGGCTATGATAAAAATTCTATTTAAATGAACGAATCTAAAACGTTTATACGAAAAGAATTTGATAAACAAATCATTTTATTACGTTCAGTTCAGGGTAGTGGTTTTTGAAGATTAATGACGTCAAACGTTTTAATTTCAAAAACCGTAATTTTTGCAAATAGACGTTTAAGATTCAGTTCAAGGTAATGGTTTTTGAACGTTAAAATATTTAGCGTTTAAATGAATGTTGAACAAATATTTGTATAATGTTATGTTTAGTTTATTATCAACTTGTAAATTGAACTTTTTCATCCTAACAGTTTATTCTCATTACATTACGGAAACATTACTGGATTGATTTAAAATAGATTTCAAATGACCAACTAGATTTTAAGCGCTATTTACGACTGTCAAATAAAGCGTGATTACCTTGAGTTCTAACCTCTTCGAATGTGAGGTCTGTAACAAAAACATGAAAACATGTAATAAATAAATTGTACAGTTATAGAAAATAAGTATTTTATTAAATATAGGTAGAAATGTAACTTTAAAACTAAAATTACATAGGCCAATTAATTGTTACGATTTCGCGTCATCAACATAAAGATAGAGATTTAGTGGTTAAATAATAATAACGGATACTGGAGTACTTTAAAATACACGTTTTCATTCCAAATAGTATACTTTGACATCAGCTGCGGATTACGTGCCATACCGAAGATTATTAAAAACGCACACCAAGTGCGGACGATAATTGTATAAAGCTCATGGCGCCAAACATTTTCAAAACTAAATCAAAACCTAACCTAACCTGGGTAGTTTTGCGGAACCTTAATGATAAATTTCATTTTTTCAAATTTGTTGGGCCATCATTAAAAACGCGCTCCGACACAGCTGTCGCAGCTGTGCAATATACCAGGATCCTGTGTAAAGTTTGCTATACATTGCTCAGCAGCTGTAGCGGATGATAACTGTATGAGACGCATACCGTCAGAACAGCTTAACATGTTAAAAACTAATTTTTTTAGAATAATTTAATATAAAAAACCAAACTTGCCAAACCCTCTGCGCTAGAATGTTATATTGTTAAGATTAAGTACTAGAGTTCTATGTGTAAAACGTGTAAATATAATTATTGCGGTCAAAATGGTTTTACGACTTTTCCGTTATTTTATTTGTTTTTGACATTTTCATGTCTTAGCTCCGGCACATAACCGAAAAAATTCTTAGTTACGCTGTTATCTGATAAGAGATAAGAAATGAGGAATGGGGTTGTGGTTGGAATGGAGAATGGGGTGGATATGATGGGGGGGGGGGGGTGAGAATGGGGTTTGGGATGGGAATATTAGCTCTAGCACATAGCCGAAAAAAGTCATTTTTCAGCCGAGTCTGCAACCACGAAAAAGCATTTTCATGTCTCGTTAAAGTACCAAATAAATTTAGATTAGTTGTGGAGTTATAATTAAAAAAAAAAATGACATGGAGCTTCCAGTTACAACATAAGACCAAGGAGATTAAAAAATTATGTACGATAAAGTTTCTGGCTAAAATTGTAGTGTTTATTATCTGGCCAAAAGTAACTTAACACAGAGAATTAAACTATTTTGAATTTATCATTTAGTTCTAATTTGAACGTTGAACGTACAACATATTTCTTATCTCCCACTCCCTATCTCCTACCTCCTATTTCCCACCCCCTACCTCCTACCCCTGTAACGGTTTTGTAACGCTTTTGTAAAGAACGCATTTTGGTAACGCTTTTGTAACGAACGCTTTTATCGGTTATGCACCACAGCTAGATCCCACCCCCAACCCTAACACCATTCCCACCCCACCTCATCTTCATCCCAATTTCTTTTTTCGTTACGCTTTTTTGATAACGCTTTTTTTGGTTATGTGCCAGAGCTAAGACATGAAAATGTCAAAAAGTGTTACCAAAAAAGCGTTACGCTATTATCTGATAAGAGATAAGAGATATGTTGTACGTTCAACGTTCAAATTAGAACTAAACGATAAATACAAAATAGTTTAAGGGCCCATATTCTCTACGAATTGTTTTAAGCCAGATATTAAAAACTACAATATTAGCCAGAAACTTGATGTTTTAATATACTAGTTACCTTAGATACTAGCTTGTTATTGCTTGTTAAGATATTAAATCATTATTTATAATTCTAACACTACTCAACAAAATACTTTTAGTACTTCAACGAGACATGAAAATGCTCTTTCGTGGTTGCAGACTCGGCTAAAAAACTTTTCCATTTTAATTTCATGTTATTAATTCAATTGTTTATTCATTGTGAATTTTATGACTAATCAATGAGAGGTGTACTTGGAGTGACAAGCTTGAGATTACGCACATTTTTACAATTTTGTAATATAATAGCATCTTACTGAAATGTTCAATGTTTCTATTAATTATACCTTATAGTAATACAATCGTTATGGTTATACGGACCCGTAATGCTAAAGCATTTCCACGATCCAATGTTTTTCCGTGGAGCGGAGAAAATAACTAGATATTTTTTAATAAATATGTTCTGTGGCTATAGACGGATCGTTTTCGATTGAAAGAAGTCGAATTCATATGATAGTTCATTTTAATAAGACTATTCAAACGTTTAGTTAAATTATTAAATGAAATTGTGAAGTTTTGAAAAAAGTCCTCATTAACGATTTAAATTTTTAAAACTCATAAATAAATATATTGGTAAAGTAGTTTTGTTTTACATCACTATATTGCACACAAAACCGTTTATGATTTAGTAGTTTTATTCATCAACGGAGTGAAGTAACCTATGTTACACAAGTAGCTCATTGCTTATAAACAGGGTCAAATTTGTTCAGTTAAAACTCAAGCTGTTGGTTAAACAATAAATTTAAAGATTTATATTTACAAATTGAAATATGTATAGTGCGTAAATATTAAAAATATTTTTTATAATTATTTTTAAGTAAAATTGCAGGTGAAACACAGTTATTTTTAATTACCCAAGAGTTTAACTTTTTGGACAAACCCCTTTCATAAATAATCGATTCAATTAAGGGCACTAGAAATCATTTCTAGTGGCCACTTTGACAAAGTGAAAAATATTTAGCTTATGACTCTGATTTCCAACCAAATGTTTTTAAGTACAATTAAACTTTAACTATCAGTTTAAAGTTATATGTTGAATTTTATAATTACTTATGTCTTTGAATAATTTTCGTTGCAGTCTAGCCTCCAAAAAATGCTCTAAAATATAAAACAAAATACACTTTTATATAATATGTCAAATTATATAGCAAAATTAATATGCATATGATTTTTCTCATAATTAAAAAACTAATGTAAAAGTCGTTTGTAATGTATTATTAATATGAAATATGAATTACGCATAATACAGTTGTCATCAAAATCTTGTTCTAAAATTAAAACGAAAACATTTTATACTTGTGAATAACCAACAACCATATAGAAATATTTTTAATTATTACCAGGTAGTGCAAACATAAAAGTCAATTGAACTGAAATTGTAATTACAAAAAATTATTTTTGAACGATATTAAACTTAATTTCATAATCTATTATAAATTAAAAGGAGGAAGTCGAGGTAGAAAATACACGTTTAATAATAATAACTAAGTTAAATTTACAAATAAATATTGAGTGATTTAAATTTAATATTTATATCACTCATAAAGTTTCATTGATAAATTGTTTTTACAATTATTGTATCATTTCCAAAACATTTCTTGTACTAGCATACGTGATCGGTTTTGTTGTAGAATAATAATTACCCATCGAGAATTCACCTAGACCAACAAAATGTTTTATTATGTCCCAAATGCTGTCTGAAATAAACAAATAATTTATTGAGTTAGAAAAAATAAATTAAATTATGCGAAGATATACAGGGTGATATTTTTAAATAAACTTTATAAATTTAGCATAATGTACTAAAACCTTTGACTGGTCGATAACCAGTTTCGGATAACTATTTTTGAAGTTATAAGAATTTCAAAGTTAGGATGGGAGGGGAAATGCGTTTGGGTAACGCACGCAGATATGTAAATATAATACTACACTACAACTATCCGAAACTGATTATCGACCAGTCAAAACCCTATGAGACATTGAGTGGCTCGTGATAAAAAAATCCCGTTGTATGTATACAAATTTTCTGAATATAAGTACATTTCGAATTAAACGTGGCCCATTTAACTAGTGATAAACCTTGTTGAAATTTTATCACACAAATAATCTATAATATCTATTCTAGATCATCGATAATATTGTACAAACTTAATTATAATGTAATCATATTATTCGTGTAGGAGACACTTTTGAGAAATATTTTGAATACAAGTTGCATTATTTGAGCTTACTATAGTATGATTATAGTATTAATAGGGTTAAGTGTATCTTACTTGTTTCAATATGTCTTGTAATGAGTATATCTGTAATAAGTTATGTATACAAACTGTAATGTATTAAAACTTAAGAAAGTATTTTGTTAACAAAAAATGTACTGACTTGTAGTTTCAATCTGCTTCATTTCGTCTATATCGTCAACGATTTCTTTAGTGCCTGTAAAAAAGTCAAATATTGAAATTTGTTTAGTTTTTTTTAATACCTAAACCGAGTACCTTAAGTAGTTACTTGTAAAAATGAACTACATACCAACACTTGCCGAAACAAGTCTTTGAGTAGGTTCTTGAGAAGGTCCTGGAGTATCAACAGCCAAAACACTTAAAATAGCACAGAAGTGTAATACATAGATTACTTTCATTTTTGTCTGCAAATAATAATACAAATTAAAACATATTAAACGGTTAGGTTATTCTGGCAATAAAATCTTAACGTTCATTGCACATTTCCCTATGTACATTTTTGGAACAAAATTCCTTATTGCGGATTGGCGAGGGGATCAAGCCGAGAAAAAATGTAACGCGTTATGAAAACTATATGTGGTGCGGTCGAGCGTGATCGGTTCCTAGGAGCGAGTGGTACCGGGTTCTAATCCCCGGCTCCCCTCCCAACACTTTTTGCATTTTTTCAACTTTTATGGTAATTTTTATTGCAAGAAGTCTAAAAACTTATAAAATATTTATATTTTATTACTACAGAATACATTTTTACTGTTAAAAGTACTTGATAATCTAAATTGCATTCGGTTTTTTTCGTCATTTATTATACTTGGCAGGAGATTTTATTTAACTCCATGCGGGATTATTTCTTTATTATTATATTTACCTATTTACATTGCTCTGATGTGAAATTTAAACTTCTGTTGTTATAAACATGCAGGTAAAAAATCATGGTTTTCTTACATTGATGCAAAGATCACTTGACCACAAGATACGATTACAGAAAATATTGAAAAACAATTATTGACAAATGTATACTAGTTTTCAATATTATTGTCGTTTCGGGTTACGGTTAAATTGAATAAAGTTGTTTTCGATAGAAACTACACAGGTGGAGGAGAGGCCTCTTAATTATGTCAAGTCAGATTTTGTTTGATTACATTAAACACGTTATATGTATTCATTCTGGTAGCCTAAGGACTCGAAGTAATGTAGACAAATGATAAATGACTATTGAGCTATCAGTGTTAGCATTGCAATTTGTTTAAGTTACCACGTTACAAGCACTGTTGTATTTTACAAATACAATTTTTGAAGTTTTACTATTATTTTTTTTTTTTTATAAAAAAAACAAATGGTTTTTGAATGTACATATCATGTTTTATTATTTGTCTTTTTGAACGTTTTAGTTCGCTTGCATACCTTATTATTACAAATATTATATCGAACACAAATTTTGTATTAAAACCAAACATACTTAAACAAATGTTTTTTACCTACATATGTCATGTATTCTAGTTAACACAGCATTACTGTGTCCAAAAACACCATCCTACAATGTTATTTTACTAGAAAAAATTAACAATTTTCAAAATTTACTTTCGATCCCGTCCTTAAATTATATCTTTGTTCATTCACATTACACATCTAGATGTTGGTGTACACGATCCGTTACCTATCTTCTCCGTACGATTATATACTCAGTTTTTTCAGCATTTATTTCTAAACCTACTCATTTAGCCTAATCTAATAATTTTCCCGCTTGCTCAATGAGATTTTCTTTACCCAATCGTACTCCGTTATCTTCAATGTGACTCTCCCTGATGACTTTTTCTAATGTTATATCACCATCAACAAAAACCTCCAATTTAAATCATAACGCAAACACACAAAACAAAAATCTAAAATCACCACAATCAGCCATAAAAAACAATTCAACAAATCCAAATGAACACAAAGCCTCTACGAAAACCAACGAAAATAAACAAATTATCTCATTCGTGTCAGCTGCATCGAATAATGTATATCCAAAGCCATATTAATAATTAATACGAAATACACAAACGGGGATATACCACAAATAGAATATTTCATATGAATATTATTCAGTTAGTGCAAACACTTGTTTAAAAAATGTGTGTTTTTTTGTGTTCATTATGTAAACATAACACTAGAGTTTCTACGTCTGGAGGAGGAGCTAAAATAGTATCATATAACTATAATATGGTTAAAATTCACATCGATTCTAAATACAATAAAATATCATAACGTTCTACATCACTAGTATTAGGCCAGCAACATTTAGTATTAAAAATATTATAATATGTAGATGTCGATTGACATTATGTGTGGTATGGATGAACACTTTTAAAATAACAAAGCAGCAAGAAGCTACGCACAATTTTTTTTTTTTGTAAATAATGACTTCGTTAAAAATTAGCATCAAAGCTTTTATAGCGTTTTTTTGAAAGTAGTTTTACCACTTTTATAAAAAATAATTCCTGTAGACCTGTGACCTCTTCGTCCCCACTGCTTTGATCCTATTATGCCTCGATCCCACTGTACTGGCTAACTAGGATAAAATCACTTTCAAATAAAAGCTTTGATACATACTATGCGTTTTATGCTACGCGTAGTTATAACCAGCGTTTTGCATCATTCTAATAAACTTATCACTATATAATCATCTAGATAACAAATTATTCTAATAAAAGTTCTTCGTTTAAAAATGTATTCGAATATTTTTTAAAAACACCATTTAAATAGTCGGTAAGTTTTTTTTTTAAGTAATTATATTTTCAAAATTATTATTTCGTAACATTTAATACGTTTTACTTTAAAAAAATGTATAAAACCAGTTAATATAAGAAAACAATTTCGTACATTACTTACCAAATAATTTCTATGATAGTTATACTGACGGCTTCAATGGTTTTTTACGACTTATCGAATGGCTTATACTTTGTCGACCGAAACAATAAAGTCTAGATGTATTTTGCAGATTTGTTTATGCGAATTTGTTAACATAAGCAACATTAGTCATTTTTCGTTATAAATAACACATTTACATTATTCTGAAGCATAATAACAAATAGAGTATAATATTATATTTGCTCAGTATTATAGTAGTATGAGTAATAGTGAAGGAGGGGATCTCAGCGGATCGCTATGTACACTATTTTAAACTTACAAAATAATTCGTTCAGACGATCACCAAAAATGAACACGCAATAATAAAATTATCAGATTCAACTGTTTCTTAACTTACGAGAAAAATATAGAATCAAGTTTATATGGGGACTGTAGTTAGAAAGCTATTAAAGTACATTGTATCCACTCAGATACGTATTTTTAATTAATTGGGCATGTTAAATGTTTTATTTATATAAACATGTATATTTTGAACTGATTCAGACAAAATCTGCATTTTTTGTTTCAAATTATATCTAATCAAAATTTATATTCTGAAAATTGGCAAAAATTTGGTATACTTGCATTAAAACGATAACGTGGTTGGGCGTTTTAACTGCTCTTAGTAATTGATTATAACGTAATCTCTCTCTCTCTCTCTATATATATATATATATAAATTAATGAATGTCTGTCTGTCTGTCCTTTCTGCATTAGTACACCATTCATCCGATTGCCATGCAACTGTGGTAAGTTGTTGAGTACACATCCCCAGGGGTAACTGGCATAGTACTTTTCGAAAATTCCACCCCTAAGGATGGTCTCAAACACGAATATTCTACTTAAATTCGAAATATTTTTCATCGCTAACTCATAATAAACACTTGGTTTGTAACCATGGTAGCCACGGTACCCGAGCGTAATGGTAGGTGATGATTAAAGAAACAGGCCGATTCTATGTACCACGGTTCTGGGGACGCTATTAAATATTTTCACGATTGGAACTGGATCTGGGACTGGAACATAATCAATATAATGTTATGTACGTATGTAGATTCAAAAAAAAAAACTGAGACGGGTATGCTAAAGATCTACAATATGCAACCTGAGTTTTTGGACCTTTTTTTTATCTTATTTGTAATTATTTTACTGAGCCCTGGCAAACTAAATTCCGGACGACGCCGGGTCCGGACAGCTTGTTGTTAATAAATCCCAACACAGAATTCAATTATTATTACTGTAACTCGAATACTGGTAATAATGAGTAAACTCGAATGGTCATTAAATATTCTAAAATATTTTTTCAAAGCCACATATTTATTTGTCCACTAATGTGTTACGCCTATTAGGTATAAAACGGCTGTCTGCTTATGGGAAGTTGTTGTGGTTATTTTTTAGAAAGGCATGCCCAAAATATTGGTCCCTCATATTTGTGGCTCCGTCTCTTGAATCACAGATTAGAACACTCCACGGTAGAATGTTAAAAAAAATTACAAGAGCCTATGCCTTAAATGTAAAAAATATATTAAGAAAGGGATCAATGTTTGCGGCAACCTATAACGTATAACGACTTTTTCATTGTTTAAATTCTTTCATTCACTTGTTTTTGAAGTGTGAATTTTACTTAGTTCTTTACGAGTTGTTAACGAGGGTGTACCAGGAGTAACAAGCTTAAGATTATATACATTTTGACAATTTTTTGTGGCTAAAATATAAAAGCATCTTACTGAAATTTTCAAAATATATTAACTGTACCTCATTACGCTAAAACACGTTCATGATTCATCGTTTATCCGCGGAGCAGTGAAAATTTGTATACAACAACTTTAACAGGATATTTTTGTTAATAATTATAAATTATATCAAATCATTACTATAATGCAACAAAAAAGTATAAACTAGTTTTTCAATCGAATTATATTCCTGCCATTTCGCGCAAAAATTGGATCTGAATACTGGAGTAAATGAGTTATAAAAACACATTTTCTATTGGAGGTTGCAGGAAACGAGGTTAAAGTTAGGAAGGACATAAATGATGGTAAGCGCATTAGCAAATGGACAGATAAGTTACCAAATGGTAATGATATGTCGTCACATAGGATAGATGAAGAGGAGTAGTGGTGTTGGAAAAGGATTAAAGGATTTTAATTGCCTTTATATTAAGCCAGTAAAAAAATATGACTAATGGTTATGAAAAAATTCATAATGGTGAGCAAAAACTTTTTATCATACAGTACATTGAGTTATTTGACAATTTTGATATTAGTGTGGCACGCAAATAAAAATTGAAATATAATAACAGAAGTACTTTATAATTTATTCATTATTTATTAAAATAAACCTGAGAGTATAAAAATGATTTATCCCTATTTAGTTTATCATAGCTGATTAACTATGTTAACCTCTTTACGTTGATGGTTTTCGTTGCTTACAAGATATATTTCAAACCCAAACTGTTTGTATGACTTAGTACTGCGGTCTACAGCACCTAAGACACAAGTATTATCAGCGGCAACCGTAGCTGTTTTTGTGTATGAAGCTGGAAATTTTGTACTCAGGAACAATCCTATGATTCGACATGTCTGGATAAAACTGATATTTGGTTCCCTTTGACCTAATAAAATGGTTTTCAAACATCAGTCAAATTTGGATTGCTATACAGAAAAAAAAAATACATAGTTGGACAAACTAATATTAAGGCTAATCTTATATCTTCATTCCAGAACAAAAGTGTATTGAGTCACAAAATGTAAACTTTACAGGAGAGAGAAAAATAAAATTATTCATTGATAAATTAATGTCTAACCAACTAATTACCTAAAATAAATTAACTTAGATGGACTTATTTAAGAATCCAAACGTCGTATAAGTTAGATATTTAGGCAGTACATAGAACGTGCAATTTAAAGCTAGGTGAACCAAAAAACCAGAAAATTAAATTTTTTTACTTATTACACTTTTGCTTTTAGGTACGAATACTAACCTAATAAATAAATGTAATGATGGAATAAGTAATGAATAGTTGGTTAAACTAAGTATATAGTCGCTTTAACTAAAAAACTAGTTGGATGATTTATTTATTTCCACTTTAAATTTATTGCGGTAACTGAAGTTTTTGTTGGTCCAAATATGCATTTTCTCTGTGTAACCACTAGTTTTCTTATTAGTTTATTATTTACACAATATATTGAGGATTAACATTTTTAAAGCTTGTCTAATTTTAGATCTTCTCTCAGTTCCAAGTTCATTCACACTTTTTCGGCCCTCAACTGCAACAAACCATTTTATAACCCAAGTAAATTTAAAAAATGCAAATTAAATTATTTAAAAAACACTATTTGAATAAACAAATTATTCCAATACATTTTTATTGGAAATATACATTTACCTAGTGTAAATTTCAATTAAGTAATTTGAAAAATTGATTATTTTTTCAATCGATTAGATTATTTATTAAACAATAAATATTGGTACCAGGGTACTAGAACACACGTGTTTATTTCCACCACGGTTGCTATGACCCTGGTACACACAATTTATTGTGTTGCTTGGTTTATATTAAATAATATAAATACACATTTCACGCATAGTACCCTAGTACTTTTTCTTAATAAAATAACATTCTAAACAAATTGAGTTCATTCTAAACAAATTTAGTTTTTAATAGGTTAAGCTATTCTGACGATTATGCGTTTCATATAAACTATCATCCGCTACAGCTGCTGAGCAATGCATAGCAAAGGTCATTAACATAGGACCCTGGTTACTTTGAAAGTGCGACAGTGGCGGCCGTCAATTTACAATGTATATTAATTGTACTTTATACAAATAAAATCGTTATGGTTATACGAAACTGTAATGCTAATACGTATCCACAATTCAGTGTTTTTCTTTTGCTTAAGACGTCAATCGAAATTAACTCTATCGAATGGGTACCGATAACCGTTAATTATGTATTACGTTGTGGAAGGCTGGATTGACTTATAATACATTTTGATTGATCATCTAGATTTCAAGAGCTATTTATGACTGTTGAAAAAAACCGTAATTACCTAGTTCATAAACGAAACCCACAGGAAGATCTGTAACAAAAATATAAAAAAATAGGTAATAAATAATTCTACAGTTAGTGAATTTTTTTTTTTAAATTGATCTACGTGTAACAGTCACTCTAAAACCGAAATTACTCAAGCTAATCGATCAATTTAGAACACTTAATTTAATTTCTAGTAGCCACATTTAAATTAATGATATGAAAGTCATCATATTAAATGATCATCGACATTATTTAAAATACATTTAACTTTATGGCTATCAAACCATAAATGTTTTTAATTACAGGTGTTCCTTGGTTTTTGTGGTTCACCCCGAAGAGATCCCTATGATTCCAGATTGACTAGTAGCGCTAGGCGTTTTAAATTACAATTTAATTTTAACTATCAGTATTGTAAAGTGTTTGGGAAAATATGTTAAATGTTATAATTACCTGTGCCGTGGATTAGTTCTGATTGCATTCTAGTCTGCAATACGTACTCTAAACATATAAAATAACATACATTTTAATATACATCTATTGTTATGAAATAATTAATATGCATATGATTTTTTTCATAATTTAAAAAATATTGCATAAGACGTGTGTATTACACAGTGTAATGCATTATTAATATAAAATATGATTTACGGCGAACAGGGTCGTTATTGATATTATGTTCTGAAATCAAAATGAAAAAATGTTATGCTTGGGAATAACCAACAACTATTTGAAAATATTTTCAGATATTACCAGGCAGTGCAAACATAAAAGCCATTTCCTCTGAAAATAGGATAACAGAAATGTAATTTTAAACGATATTGGACTTAATTTCATGATCTATTATAAATTAAAAGGAGGAAGTCAAGGTAGAAAATACACGTTTAATAATAATAACTAAGTTAAACTTACAAAAAATATTAAATGGTTTAAATGTAATATTTTTATCACTCATAAAGTTCTATTGATAGGTTGTTTTTGCAATTATTGTATCATTTCAAAAACATTCCTTCTGCTAGCAGGCTTAATCAGTTATATTACAAAAATTATAATTACTCATTGTAAATTCAAGTACATCATTACTAACGAGTCTTTTAATCATAGTCCAAATTTCATCTGAAATAGTCAAAGAATTGATTAGTTATGTTAAAAATATATTAAAAAATGTTTATAATAGTTTGCGTTAAGGAGCTATTAATTATAAAAAAAAAATATAGAGACTTTAGCTCATAATTTATAAACTATCTTAATGACAGGCGAGTATAACAAAACAGTTATATTCAGTGTATTAATAATTTTGATTATATCTTACTGTCTATACAAAGCCAGTCAATGATTATATCTGTAATAAATCATTTGAAGATTATGCATAAAATTGTAAAGCTTAAAAACATGAAAAAGTATTTTGTAAACAAAATTGTACTGACTTGTAGTTTCAACTACGCTTACATAATTGTTAGCTGTAAAAAAAAGTTAAATATTGAATTTTTTTTAACTACCTTGAGTAGGCACGTGGAAAAACGAAATATATACCTTCAACTGCCAACAAACTTAAAAAGAGACATGATAATAACACTAAGAAAAATTTCATTTTTACCTGCAATTATAACAATAAACATAAAAATATGTTATATTAGACGAAGGCGGCAAAAAGTTGCTCTAGGTGCAATTGAAGATTGTTGGAGGCTATTTCTGAGTTTTCGTGAGAGAAAAAAGTGACTTTGACATTAGCGTATTCGGCTACTGTTGTGTTTGGGAAAATAGGCTGATCTACCAAAAACATATTAAGAAATAGTGGAGCGACAATGGCTCCTCGAGAAACCCTAGCTTTTATTTTTGAGCACGACAAAATAGATGAGCGGTACCGGATGGCAAAGTGGCAATCGATGAAGTAGTGCAAGAATGGCAGGTAGAAGATACGGGAGGAATGTTTTTTTTTAGTTTTAAGAGAAAGCAAATTGGGTGTAGGGGATATTTTAGCTGAGCAAGCAAGTGGGTAGAGTCGTTTAAGAATAATTTTTTCAAAAACTTTGGGAAAGAACGGAGGGAGACTTATATCAAGATGGAACTTTAGTTATTCCTATCCTTTAATTTACTTATGTAAAGTAACGCAACTAAGAGTTTGTTTCATTATTTCGTTATTCTAAATAATTTTTAATGCAAAATTGAATATGTTTTGTTATACCTCCTCTCTAAGATCCACCCTTCAGTGTAGTTCTCAAAACTTCAGTCTAAAACTGGGCTCAAAAGTTAATATTTTCTTTTTTTCTATGGAAAATAGCTTATGTTATGTTGATGTATTTTATTGTATACTAATAAGTGCTATACCTATTCTACACAAGCTTAAAGTTATTGAACTGCAATTAAAAGTGTTATAGCATGTGGTACCTATTTTTAAGTTTAAAAATTAAGTTTTGATTGTGGGAATTCTTTATTGGTTTTAAATGGCAAATGCTCAAATTGTTTAACTTTTATCTTTTAAGATATTATGCAATACTTCTTCTATAAAATGGACTTACCATAAGTGTAAATGACCTTTTGGTTTAAAGTTATCGCAAGCTAGATGCATAAATACAAAATAAGAAAATTAGAAAACTTAATAAAAATGTACTAAAAACGTTAATAAAAAGCTCATCAGTAAATATGTGCTATAATGTACTATTAAAAATACTGATCATTCAAATAAAGTATTTAAATTGTAACCTATTTTAAATGCAAACTATTTTAATACTAGACTTATTTTTCCTTAAAATACGCGTTTAAAATATATTTAAATAAATTTTGGCCATATTTTATTAAAAACGTTCATACTTACAACTACTAAACTTTGATAGTACTACTCAAAATGTATTTTTAATCGCAGCTATGTATCAAAAACTAAAAAAAATAAAATAAAACAGAGTAAAATAACCATTATTGTAAAACATGTATACAGCACCGTCTAGACTGTAAGTAAACAAAGCTAAAAATAAAATAAAAATGTTATAGCATGTATACAAATTTTCAAACGGATATGTTAAAAAACAGAATAAGAATTTAATTTTGAGTATTTGTTTGGTTAATCCTGAAAAGTTGCAAAAAACGAGATACGACGCTTTTCGTTGGGGCAGTCGATATAATGGCGGGCCTGCGTGCATCTATAATATGTTATGTGATAGAATTATTTAATGATAATTGAAAATTATTATAACATGTTACAAAATACTTCTAATAATCATAACGATTACTCTACAAGTTGCATGCAAGATTTTTAAGAAAATAATTCACTTATGATGTAACATAGGGTGAATGTAGAATTCAAAAATAAGGGCTAGAAAAAAAATTTTCTTCAAGTGTTATACAAAACAATAGCCTTAGATTTTATATGTATAGTGAAAACAACATATATTATAATATTTCATATTAAAACAAAAATTATAGCCTATAAAAATACACTTTTAATGCACACAATTCAAGTACACAAGAGAAAAGCTTTAACACCAATAGCCCCCACCCAAAGCATCCCCCCTTATATCTGCCTTGAAATAAAAAAATAAATATTATAATTTAATTTGCATATTAAATTTTAGTTAAAATATCTGTGTTGTACAAAAATCAACGATATGTTTTCATAAAATATAGTATTTTTCTCAGTGATTGTTACAATGTAAACAAACTACAAATACCTGTTGGAATTATACTGCCTTAAGTTTTAGCACAATACGAGCGGCCATATAATATCAATAATTTTTTTACAGGTATAATAGTTTTTTTTCGAACACAGGTGTTCTTTTAAACTTACACTATGTGTTTTAATTAAAAAATTTTATCTGAATGTATAAACATAATAATTATTTTGGAAAATAATATAATTGGGAGTTGTGATATTTAATCTTTGTATTTTCACGTTTTACTTTGGTATTTTAAGTATTTTATTGTGATACCTGGGTCTACAATGCAAGACAATAAATAGTTCGAACATTTAAGTACACAAATAACTTAACAAAATATATTTGAAACCAACTTGTTTACGAAAAAACAACAATATTTCTATAATAGTTGTTGTTGTAATATATAATGTTAAAACTTATTTATGTATGGTAACCTGCAGTTGATTGACATTAATTTTTTATTACAACATTTTTTTTGAAAAAAAAAACTGGTTTTCAGTAAGATAAAAAATAAAATTATAAAATTAAGTTGTAAAATATTATAATGTAAGAAAATTAATTGCTAACATCTTGTGAAAACATAAGGTTAAAATAAAATGTAAAACGCTTGTTAAATGCATATTATAATAATGATTAAACTTATAAGGGTTCTGCATACCTAAAAATGCCTTTTGAGTGTATACTCAAAAGGCATTTTTAGGTCAAATTTTAAATAAATCACAACACCTCTAAGAATCGTATACTGATCATTTTTAACGACTTAAGAACATAGTTTACATAACTATGACTCTAAAAAATAAAAAAATAAAAATAGAAAAAATCATTATGATTACTCTACGATTGGCCACAATTCCTATCAAACACTTAACCTTTAGGACAAAAAACCTAAATCTAATATAATCTATTAAACTCAAATTAGATTTACGCGTTTAAAATTTAATCATAGCTGTTATTATATTGTAATATAGTAATGTTGTGACACTCCTGTAATGAAACACTTCTAAACTTTTAAAGCTTTATGGAAAACATAATTAACTCTTTTATAATTTTTAAAAAGTTAAAACATTGTTTTGGATATTTTCCGTACTAAAAAAATACTAATAATTGTCTAATTTCGCGTCATACACTTGATATGAACCGCCACCGCGAATATAATTGCAGTTGTGATAATTGAGCTTTGTTGTTTTGTATTTTTGACTACAACATAAATTATAATATTTAATAATTAATCGAATGCAGCGCTCTAGGGTAGGAGCATATTGGGTTAAGTGATGAAATCAATTTCAAAACAACGCTAGTTTAACGCACACAGCTTTCCTCCTGTGCCGACTGACGGCTAAAGTGTCCTCTGCACCACGTTATGCCCTTAATTCATTTTATTATATCAATATTTCTAAAAAAATAAATGTATTAGTTGGGTTCGTTATTTATAATATGTATTGAATACAAATTTAAAAATTCATCGATAACAATTATTCCAACATCAGGGTTCTACAATGCTTTTGTATTTATATTATACATTATTGTATTATAACGTAGTCTTGTCATCAAAAACCAGTGCCGGGAACATAGGGGTAGTTACACTATAAGGTCATTCCCCTTGTGTGCTTATGGACTTGTAAAAAAAAAAAAAAATTCTTCAATGCAAGAACATCAATAGTTGAAATATTTAAAAAACAAAATACTTTTAATGTTATCTATTCCATTTTATTTGTATTGTACTGTGTTAAAGCATGTTTACAAAATCAAAATCAAGCTATTTTTAAATAAATGTTATGTCAACTTTTTTGACCAATAATAAAAACATAACAATACGTATTTCAGTAAAATATGAGTTTTTAAAATGTTAACTTAGAAGATTGTATGAAATAACACCCATATGCATTAGTTATATAATAACGCTTTATGATAGTAATATATCTTTGAAATAATATAATCTATGAAGTATAAATAGTGTGTGTGAGATTGCTCTAATGAAAGTATATATAACAAAAATATTAATTTTATTGAGAATAAACGGTAATAATAAATTTAAACTATGGAGTACAAACGATTGAAACAAGAATCGTCCATCATTCCAACTAAATTTAACAAGACATTGTATGGGTGTTATTTGGTCCACTACGTTTTTGCAAAAAAAAACCAGTACAGTGGGGTTGGGGCATAGTTGGGTCGAAGCATAGTGGGGATGGGGAGGTCACAGGTTTACAGGAATTTTTAAATCTGAAAGTGATAAAATCACTTTCGAAAAAACGCTTTGATGCAAATCGGTAGTTAGCATTTTCAAGCCAGTACAGTCCAAACCAAGCACAGTATAAACCAGCAAAGTTAGAAAGTCTTAAATTGAGGTTCTGTATTTACAAATAAGCATCAAAGCGTTTATTTGAAAGTGATTTTATTCAATTTTATCACTTTTATTTAAAATAATTCCTGTAGACCGGTCACCACTCCGTCCCCTCGTTGCTTTGATTCCATTATGCCTATACTCTTCTATGTGGCGGTTTACACGAGAGGTGATCAAATGTATAATGTGCTGAATAAAGTGTGTTTTTTAAATTATCGATTCATAGATAGTGTTGACTTTTTTCTTGGTGAATTCATATAGTAGACTTAAGTGGGTTTAAAACAGTGGAAATAATGTTAGAGTAATAATAGAATTAAAAAAGATGAATTTATTAAACATTTATCAAACAAAACGACAGAACTTAAATGAAACCTTCTAACGTATTATCGATCATTACACTCAAATACACCTCATACCACCGATATCGATATTACTTTTCTCACTTCTTTTAATTTTTTTTTCATTACAAACAAATGGTCCGAAAAGTGACAAAATAAATGTATTAAAAAAAAATGTAAGGACTTAAGCTACTATTATTGAATATTGGTGAAGCAATGTGGATGGATGGGATGGATGGAAGAGGAGTAATGGTCTCGCCAAAGGACCAAAATAATCTGTATATTAAGCCAATACAAATTATGACTGAAAGTAATGAATCAATTTATAATATCGAGCAAAAACATTTTATTATGCAGTAGATTAATTTATTTGACAATTTTGATATTAGTGTGGCACGCAAAAAAAATATTTAAATGTAATAACAGAGGTACTTCATTATTTATTAAAATAAACCCGAACAATAGAAATTATTTATGTTAACCTATAAGCGCCTGTCAATTGCCCTTTTTAAAAATGGACCTATGCCACTCTCTTCGTGAAAATGGTATTGATTGTTTACAAATTTTATCCAACGCCCAACTTTTGTGCAACACATTATTACTATCTGTAAATGACGTAAGACACAAACACCATTTACAACATCAGCATTTGTTATGTACTTTGTTGTTGGAAATTTTGTACTCGTGAATATTCCCATCATTCGACATATGAGTTTAAAATCCATATTGTGGTGTGCTGGTTCTAAAGAAAAAGTTTTCAAATGTTAGCTAAATTTAGCTTGCTGCACGGATAAACAAATACATATTTGGACAAACTTAAGTTAAGGCTAATCTCATATCCTCACCCAAGAGAAAAAGTGTATTGAGTCACAAAATGTAAATTTTACAGGAGAGAAAAAAATAAAATTATATTTATTATCCGATTATGCATTTTTTCCGTGTAACCACTAGTTTTTAAATTAGTTAGTTATTTACTATTATTTATATCGGCCAATAAATCTGATAATGCTTGTTTAAATATCATCCTTCGATCAACTCCAAGAGTATAAACACTTTTGTAATCTTCACCTGAAAATTCAATGAATGTGTAAAACAAAGTGTAAATAATTTGTTAAGTGTTTATATTAAGGAAATTTCGTAACCTCAATAAACACGGTGGAATTTCAAAATTACAAATTACATTATTCGAAAAACGAACATTTAACAAACACACAAATCGTTAATGTATGTTTTTATTGGAATTATACGTGTACGTGTGTTGGAATTATAAATGTCAAAAAGTTTTTGTGATATTTGATTATAGTAGTATAGATATGCAGCAACTACAATTACTGGTATAATTTTTCACTTACAATAAAAATGGCAATTGGAATAATTATTGGACACAAATTTCGATTAATGAATACAAGCTATTCTACTAGCTAATATTAGTTTTTATTAAAATAACTAAAAAAAAAAAGAAGACTAATTCTTGTTGTTTAATATTTGTATGTTAGAT